GAGAAAAGACTACTGAAGAGATGGGGAAGTTCTCTGGACTATCTTGGAATCAAGTCAGCAAATTTTAATGGAAGATTTATGAATGAGAAGGTATGCTGTGAAATTTGTGCCTCAAGTTTTGACTGACCAGCCAAAAAAAAAAAATCAACTGGAAATATGCCATGCTTTGAAAGAACAGCTCCAAAGTGCCCCAGACTTATAATATAATGTCATTACTGGTGACGAGACATGCTGCTATTCTTACAACCCTGAAAATCAAACATCAATCAAGCCAGTGGAAGATGACACTGTCACCTTACCCCCCAAAAGCTTACTAAGTCAAATCAAAGATCAAGATGATGCTCATTTGTTTTTCTGATGTGAGGGAGATAGTGCATTTGGAGTTCATTCCATCAGGTCAGACTGTTAATCAAGCTTCCTGTTTAGAGGTTCTGAAAAGATTGCGTAGCAGTGTGCAACAAAAAAGGCCTGATTGTGGCAGACGTGAGACTGATTTTGCCACCACGACTATGTACCTGCTCACACAGTCATTTCAGTGTGCCAGTGTTTGGCAAAAAACAGCATACCTCTCTTGCTCTACACACCTTATTCACCTGACCTCACCCTGTGCAACTTCTTTTTGTTTCCGCGAATGAAGAGGGACATGAAAAGGGCAGTAATTTGAGGCCAGCGAAGAGGTGAAGAAAACAACCGAGGGAGGTGCTGTCAGCTATTTGAACAGACGAGTTTGAAAAATGCTTCTAAGAATGGAATCACAGATTTGACAAATGTATTAAGTGTAATGGCAAGTACTTTGTAAAGGTTGTATTGTAACAAGAATTAAATACATAGCATGGGGGATCTGATTTGGGGAGTTACTCCATTGTATAATCAAAATTAATATTAAGAGTGAATGGTAGGATACAAAGGGAAAAGTAAGGTCCAAGATGGTAGAATTAATAAGATTCGAACACCAGTTGGTGATAGGAGAATGAAGAGTAAAAGCTGACTCAGGATTTGAACCTGAGTATCTAGGGACCCTGGTGGCATAATGGGTTATGTGTTGGGCTGCTAATCTCAAGGTTAGTAGTTGGAATTCACCAGTCACTTTACGGGGAAAAAGACAAGGCAGATGCCAACACTTTATCTTGAAGTATGGGATGTATGGGAGAAAGACGGGGCTTTCTACTTCTGTGAAAATTTATAGTGTCAGAAACCACAGGGACAGTTCTTCTCTGACCTGTAGTGTTTCTGTGCGTTGACATGGACTCAAGGGAAGTGAGTTTGACTCTGTGCTGTATTATATACGTTTCAAGTTGTCAAAGGGGGAGTGAGTATTCCCCCCACCCAGAAAAAGGGAGAAATAGGCCCAATAAATTTGGGATCTTAGGATTTAGTCAGAAGGAGCCCCAAAAGTGTAAGACTCTACTGCTAACTGAGAGGTCAGTGATTCAAACTCACCAGCTTCACCCAATGAGCAAAAGACTAGAAATTTGCTTCCATAAAGATTACAATGTAAGACACGCTACGGAGCTGTTCTGTTTGGTCTTACAGGGTCACCATGACTTGGAACAATTTAACAGCACTCAACATCTTAATTAGTGCCATTAGCCAATTAATTCACAGTATGCTTAGGAAGAATATAATGACCCTTGCTTTAGACACAATTAATTAGGGGGGGGGGGACCCATAGAGTATCTAAGAGTAAATATGCAACAAGTAATTGAAAATGGAAAATTGGGACTTGAGATATAGGTATGGCCTGGTATTTCAAGTATACCAGTTTTTGAGAGGAGTATTATCTGCTAAAGTAAATGCCTTGAAAAGGTACTGAAGTTATAGAAACTAGAGATGGGTCATGTGAAAGTACTGGGATTGCTTATTCAGTAAAAACATCTGGTGGTATGTGGCTAATCTCCTCTCCAAAGTGGGGATCAAGTTACCACTGTTTTAATACTCTGCTATTAAGAACATGGTTTATATTTAGTGGATAACTCACTATTTCAGAGACAGTTTAGAGTTGGTGATCTTTTGCTACCATATAACAAATGCACCCACAAGCTGTGAGTTTTGAGTGGGGGTCAATGGAGGAGAAGGTTGTCCAGTTCATGTGGACTTGTGTTTCCTTAAGTGGGCGATACCATCCTTTAAAGGGTGCTGGAATGATCCAGGGAGAAGAATGCGTAGACACCTATATTTTATCCCAGATTACTGGCTATAGCACAAATGTTTTTAATTGCCAATGGGATACAGAGGGGTTTTGTTTTGTTTTGTTTTTTCTAAAAAAGAAGTAGGCCAAGTAAGTTTGGGAACTTTCTTACTCATTTATTACTGAGTTCTGATGTTCCCTGCGACCACAAGACCCTCAGCATGCAAAAAGGTGGTGCTTTGATTTAATGATCTCTTCTAGATTACGATCTTCTAAAGGACAAGATACTTTATTCATGTTTGTAATGCCAACTTAGGAGCCCTGGTGGTGCAGTGTTTAAGGTGCTTAGAAGGATGGTATCACTCACTTGAGGAAGTGCTTGTCCTGCACTGAACCCCACTCAAAACTCAAAGCTTGTGGGTACATTTGTTGTTTGGTGGCAACAAGGCACCACCTGTAAAATGCCTTTGAAATTGGTATTAGTAATTAGTTGCTCAAAACATGTTGGTTGGGGGAGTAAATTCCCTTATCCTATAGTCATTAACAGGAATGCTAAGGAACTAATTTCACATGGGTCCTATGTGAAATAAACTTAAACTTCATGGAAGATAGAATTAAAAGGATATAGATTTTTTTCAAGAACTTTATGAAGCCCTGCTCTACATGTTTACAATAAAACCTGTGAAAGATGGAACCTGTATAAGACACAACCTTGTCAGAGAAGGAAAACTCAAATCTTTCCCCCCAATAGAGTGTGATAGGAAGGTGGCAAGATGACACCCTATCAAGAGCTGAAAACTGCGAGATCTGGAAAAACAAGGCATTCATGAATATCAGGGGTTTCTCTATACATTTAAAGCAAAACTACACTAAACCAAACCAAGCCAAACCACTTACTGTGGCATGGATCCTGACTCATGGCCACTGAGCGCCATAGGATTTTCAATGGTTGAGACCTTTTGGGACTCAATTGTGAAGTCCTTTGTTTGAGGATCTGTTGAGTGGACTTGAACCAGCAAGCACTCAGCAGTGGAGCACTCAACCAATTTGGCCACCTATGGTCTTCATATGCACTCATATACAGTTACATATTGAGATTAAGTAAATAAGTACTGTTACTACTCTAGTTTTAGTTCATACATGTGTACATTTATTCCAAACAAAATGTATTTCAGTATGTTTCTGTCATCAGTGGATAGCTGTAGGCAAATTCTCTTAGAAATACACTTGGGTTAAAGGTCATTAAGGTGCTTTCTGAAAAAAAAAATCAATCAAAACAGTGGGTTCCTAGGGGATCAGGTGAGTCAGCTTAATTCAACGCAGGGAGGTCAGCTCAGCAGGTTATGAATACTGGTGTTTTTAATTTCCAAGGGGTAATCTTGATAGATTTTTCTCAAATGACACAAGATGATCATAGATTCTTATTAAGAATAAATTCTGAGAAAGTTAAAAAATGTGTTGGGAAGGAAAAGACTAGGAAATATGCCAAGGAATCCCCCTACCCCCCATCATGACAAAGTACCTGCTCATTGCAAGGGCTCATTGCAAGGTACCTGCTCATGCAAGGGCTCATTGCAAGGGCTGTTCTATGAGTATTTCATTGGGGAATCTTACCCCAGCCACACTTAAGCCATGATCTTGCCCCTTCAGATTTGTTTTTGTACTAAAACTGAAAGACTATTCCAAGGGAATACAATTTGGATTTTTTTTTCCCAGGGAAGGGTTACAAAGATAGAAAAACTGCCTACAGTGTGTATAGACCTAGATTAAGGATATATCAAGAATCAATAGCTTCACTTTTTGGTATTCTTATTTGATAGAGGTTCTCTGATTTTTATCAATGCTCTTTCACTTAGCTTCCTACATATTGTATCTTGATAGGAAAACGTTGAAAGAGAATATTTAATATGACCTAGGTGACTATGAGAGATACATGAGAGATACACATAGTATGCAATCAGTAAAAACTGTGATTTTGAAGAACATTTGTTGTAGTATACACATGATATAATATTAGATTTCAGAAATTAATCTAGATATATAAATACAACATTCTCAATTTTTTATGCACAACACACATGTTTATGAAGGAAACTGATGTGACATGAATTCTTCTTTAGGGAAGGAACCAGTTTTGTGTAGGAAAATACTTGAATCTAGGTAAATGGAAAATAAAATGCAGGCATGTTGTTAGTAGGAAAAATGAAGCAGAGCAATAGTGGAGAGAGTGAAAAGGAGAATGTGTTTATATGTGGTGGTTTTGGAAGGCTTCACGGTTAAGTAATATTTGAGCTGAAATTTGAAGGAAAGTGAGAGCTAGACCAGTGTGCTTGGTTTCTGGTGCGCATGATCCAGTAAGGAAGGAGAAACAGGAGTTAGGAACTGAATAGTTCATAGGTTAGTAGGCAGCTTTTGTTACAAGCACATCAATTGTTTTCATGTGGGAATATGAGATGGATACTGCACATGATTTGGTAGATAATATGGTAGGAGGATATGAACATACTATGAAGCAAGGTTATCAAGTGAAAGTGAGAAGGGATAAGAAGAGAAGGAGAAAATGAATAGTCATATAAAAGAATGGAAGAGTGAATGGAAATCTGGTTAAAATACCTAATATGTATGTATTTTTTTGTATGTATTATGGACAGATTTTCTCAAAGTACAGGTTTTACAAGCTGCACATCACTTTATATCTTTTCCAATCCCCTTCCCTCCAAAGTGACTAATCCAATAAAAAAATAGAAGTAACTAAGTCAAAAGAACTTATTCATGAGTAAAAAGCACTTAAGACAATTTATTATTACTAAAACGACCCTTTATTCCTTGCTGATTAAATAATTTCATTTTTTCTCTCTCTACTCCTGAACAGGGTGGTGGTGATTGTCCAGAGATGAGCATTGGAGCTATAAAAATTGCCTTGGAAATTTCTCTTCCTGGCTCTTTCATCTATGTTTTTACTGATGCACGGTCCAAAGACTATCGGCTTACTCATGAGGTGTTGCAGCTCATCCAGCAGAAACAGTCACAGGTGGGTAAGGAATACATTCCCAAATCTTTTCATCTGAGTGATGAGAAAATAAAGTGCTCAGAGGTTGCCTCTCTTCCTAATTCATGTATGGCAAATAACAACCGTTATAACTATCAGTATATATGCATTTGATGAATAGTGGTGGTTCAGTGGGTTAAGCATTAGGCCGCTAGCCAAAATGTCAATGAGAGAAAGATGAGGCAGGCTGTGTCTGTGAAGAGGTGTAGCCCACAGAACGCAATGAAGCGGTTCTGCTCTGTGCTATGGGGCCACTTTCAGTTGGAATGAATGCAATGACAGTGGGTTGTGTCGCATTTCATATGAAGATTTTGCTTTTTAAATATAGAGCTATATTTTTGAAATTTGATTTATGGTTAAGAATATGCATAGAAGAACACATACCAATTCAACAAGTTTTTAACATGTATACTTCTATGACATTGATTAAACTTTTCAAGCTTCACAACCGCTCTATAACAATATTTTCTAAATTATTCTTCCTCTATAAACATATAACCACCACCCTCACGTTTTTATCTAATCTTTTGAATTGCTGTGGTCAATTTGATCCTTGAAAGAGCACAATACTCAAGGCAAGCATTCCTTACTAATGAAGCTAAACTATTATTGATTCTAAGGAGACGTTAGAGTATATTTTGAGTTTAAGGTTTACAGATCATGTCAGAGCAATCATTTTAGTAACTCACCCAGTTTTTTCATAAAGTTTGGGTTTAAAGTCAAGGTTTCATGGAGCATTGCAGTTAATTGGCCTAAGACCATATCTGTGGCTTCTTTTCCACCTTCCGGATGGTTGTGCAGAGCCTGGCATGTGAAAAGCTTGCAGTCAGCCAGCCCAGACACATTTATTGGTCTGTAGGCTCGCTGTGCATTGGAGTCTACTCTGTGGCCGTGGGTTTGCTTTCTTCATTTATTTGCCTGAAGCAGCAGAGAAAGAGGCAGAGTCAGGGACAGGAGACAAACACTAACTGCCTTCATGAACAACTGACTTATTTACCACGAGACCCGAAGAACTGGAGAGTGTCCAGCTTCTGTTCTCTTACTGAATGTTTTCATCAAAGGTTCTATAGAAGAATCTCAATGTTCAGAAGGAAAAGTCATGCTAGAATTCAAATTCTTCTGGAATTCAGACTTTTTGGAGTCATGAAGCCTTGTTTACTAATAAATAGAAGAAATGATTGGGGATTATTTAAGGTGTTTAATATCTTATCCTTATAAAGGAGCTTACATATCCTTATACATGAGCTCTGTGGCCCATATTTAAAATATCAATTTCTACATGGCATTTGCTGAACTCTGGCTTCCTGTCTCAGAAAGTCAAAGGGGCAGTCACTTGCTGTCCCCGAGTGTCCCTGTGAGTGAAATGGACTTGATGCCATCAGCCTGGTTTGGTCTGGCTGTGCACACATTTAGATGTATAATTTTCTGGAAACCTTTAACTGTCTTTTTTTTTTTTTGGTAATTAGGTGGTATTTGTCCTCACTGGAGATTGTGATGACAGAGGCCACATTGGATATAAAGTCTATGAAGAAATTGCCTCCACAAGTTCTGGTCAAGTATTTCATTTGGACAAAAAACAAGTGAATGAGGTAAGTTGAGTTAAGTGGGTCTCTTTCATTACAAGTTATCAATCTAATTATGGCAGGTTCAATAAAAAAACCAGTTTGATGAAAAATGTTTCATTTCTTGTCTACAGGGCACTAATTAAATTAAATAAATTTAATCTGTGGAAAAAGCATAGGTTATCACATAGTAATTTCTAGATTGCAATATGTTACACTGACAAGTTATTTAGACTTAAGCATAAATTCAGTTGAAATTTATTTAGTAAAAATCAAGATTAAAAAATACTTTTTATTGTGAACTAGGTAGAGGTTTATTTATAGGTAGAGGTTTATAGAGGATCATCAGTTTTACATTCAATAAACATTTTGTTTCGAGTCACCATTGCATATTTTTAATGAAGAATCAGGAATTTTTATAGTTATTGTTATTTATTATGGTTGATTTGTGTTTCTGATGCTCTACTTTTGGATATTAGGTAAAATAGGCTTGACTGGCCACTCAACTAGGTGTGAGAAAGTTATTATTAAGCTAAATTCTATGGATGTTTGACATTCGTGAAGTGCTTTAGTGACGGCTGAGTCTGTTTGATTGCTAACCACAAGTTTAATGGTTCAAACCTACCGGTCTCTCCTCCAGAGAAAGATGAGGCTGTCTGCGCCTGTAATGATTTCCAGCATCATAAACTATATATATTGTCCCGTGAGTCAGAATCAACTTGGTGACAGTGGGTTTTGTGTGATATATTTACAGAAAAACTTGCATTGTAGTAAAACTGTCACAAATAGTAAGTAACTCTTTGTGTTAAAAAACAACTGTTTGAGATGTGCCTTGGGCTCCCTCATGACAATAAAATGAAATTAATTAATTAGGCTCTTACTTCAGTTTCTGGAAGCATGCTAATACAAAGAGAAAGTTTTAAATGGGAATGTCATAATTTATTTATACAAGTTCTAGCAATTTCTTCTTTGTGTCTTGAATAAAATGGCTCAATAGTTCTTATAACTAAAGAGTTTTTATGACACCATGGTGGAATAAGACATTGCACATTCGTAAAACAAACGATCTAAGCAATATATTTTTCATCAACATACTGAGATATATAAACCTAGAAGGTTATTTATCTTTAAAAAAAAAAGTAAGTAGTCTTGGAAGAAACAGCCTTAGAGAGGGCTATCTAATTGATACCAGGGAAGGTTTTTTTTTTTTTTTTGACTGTTAATCAAGCTTTCTATTTAGAGGTTCTGAAAAGATTGTGTAGCAGGGTGTCACAAAAATGACCTGCTTTGCTTGATACAGTTGATGAATGAATTGTTATTAGAGTTGTAAGAGTCTCCGATAAAATGATCTTTTAATAATATATTTTTTTAAAAGCCTGATTTGTGACAAATTGGGGACCGGTTTTGCCACCATGACAATGCACCTGCTCATGCAGCCAGCTGAGTGCACCAGTTTTTGGAAAAAGGCAGCATGCCTCTCTTTCTTTTTAAAAAAAATCATTTTATTAGGGGCTCATACAACTCTTATCACAATCTATACATACATCGATTGTGTAAAGCACAATTGTACATTCATTGCCCTCATCATTCCCAAAATTGCTCTCCACTTAAACCCCTGGCATCAGCTCTTCATTTTTTGCCCTTCCTCCCCGCTCCCCCCTCCCTCATGAAACCTTGATAATTTATAAATTATTATTTTGTCATATCTTGCCCTATCTGATGTCTCCCTTCACCCACTTTTCTGTTGTC